TCATGAAAACCGATAATTGGAGAATTCAAAATTGAGAACAAATGCTCATTGTATCAAATAATGTTTATATATAAAAACCGAAATAGTATAGAGGAAAGTTTTGTTTGTTTGTTTGTTTTTCTTTTTTTTTTTAAAAAAAGAAAAAAGTGCAGAGAAATACAGTAAGATTAAATCTATTTTAAGTTGAGATTGAAATTGAAGTCGTGACTTGAAACCAAAGCAAAAAATCGATCTTCGAACACACAAAATGATGACCTTTTCCGATTCAGCCGGTACAAATCCAACAAGGATACTGCAGTTACTTAGATACTGAAAACTTTTTATTACAGATGTGAACTACATCCATAGATGAAACTCATAGTTTATAACTGCTACAAAAAAAATATTGCATATAGCTTTAATTCCTGAGTTACTTAACCTTTTCAAAAATAGTGAAAGTAAACTAAATCCTAAAAAAGCATTACTTGGATAATGACAAATTATGCCAGGTACTAATGTATTACTTTTCGCCCCAGCAAAATCCCATCAATTTTTTAGAAATGGTTGCCTCATACATTTTTTTTTGTTACTACTTGTGAACCTTATAACTTTCAATCAAAATTTTTTCTGCATATCCATAAAAGACTATATGAATAATAGACCATGTGAATAGTTGATTTAACAAGAAAAAATTTTGACTTTAAATGTTAAAGCTTTTTTCTTTATACAATTCATAAAAAGAATATAAATGCAACGTTAAAAATGTTTGTCATTTCGTGATATACTTCCAAATTTATTAGGTTTCGAAAGATTAAATCCATTGGAATGTTTATTGGTTCCTAAAATAATCTAAAAGTTTGCATCTCGAATAGTGGGAAAAAATCAATTGTGTTCCAGACACATAACAACAACACTTTTTTGAGATTAACGGAATGCAAACGAGGAGAAAAATAACGCAATGAAGAATGATGACACAAAAAGATGAAGCAAAAGCTTTATTTGATCTCGCGATGTGTACTTGGATTAAAATTGTAGCAAATGCTATTATGGCTAAATTAGTTTATGTGTGAGAGGACGAAAGTCCTAATTTTTGCGCTACTGAATAAATATTGTTAACAATCAACACGAATAACTATCCACATATGAAAACTGATTTCTGGAGAGCCGATGAGTTATTTTGATCAAGAAAATTGAGAAACGGATTCAAGTTCCAACGAACATTTCTCATTTTTATACTTTCAATAGTTCATGAAACTAGCTTAATGACAAATAGTTAACGCAGAATGCCTGACGTCCGACGTAGTAATACATTTTTCGGGCAGTGAGAGGCAGCTGCGCTTAAATACTTTCCACAGAAAATCGTAAGAACTGTGTGATATGAAAACGCATAACTTTCATGGGTCATTCATAAGACTGTGATTAACAAATAAAATTCAACTTATAAAATGTAATAACATTTTAAATATAAAATATTTCAAACAGCATATTTGCTTAAGCCATTGAACTATTTTGCACATTTAAGGAGATGCGTGAACATGTGCAGAAAGGCTTGCTACCTCGTTTATGGATCTATGGGCATATTTGGAACATGTAATTAAACAATAGAGTCGGATATTGATCTCTTGGAATTATTATACTGTTCAAGAAACTATAAAATCAGGCTTCAAAATTTCTCAAAATACAAAAAGCTGAAGGTCGTAGTAGAAATCCACAAATCTTAGCATTTAAATTTTCAAAACGATGAGAGAAGTTAGAGATACGAAGGTATGACATCTTTTTCCATACAATGAACTACTTATGGCGTTGAAAAGATGCGAAGGAGAAGTGCATTGTGATGAAAGTGTGACACAGAGACAGCAGCCTAACTGGCCAACTAAAATGGAACTAAGATCTTAACGCTTCCAAACTACACAACTTTATATACATGCATAAGTAGCAATATTGATTTTGTTGAAGGAAAATAAATGAAGTCTACTTCCCTTTCATCTTCTATTTTCATAGATATATTATTATTATTGTTAAAGTTGAAAAACTAGAAATTAATTCCATCTCGAAATACACTTTAATGTCTTAATAATTAAACGTTTCTCTAGATCCTCTAAAATGCAGTATAACAGAATCTTCTAGGAAATTTGCTTTATTCTGCGATTCCAACAAAACACTGAAAAATCCCAAAAGTCCTAAAAATACAGGAGACGCTAAAATGTCCTAAATGTATGTGGGGGGAATGTCTGAGCGCCAAGCGGAAGGTTCCAGGAACGTTAGCCTCATAAAACAATCAGAATTTTAAACCGAATTTCTCTATGCTTTTTTCAAGAAGAAATATGTGTAAAACTGCCTTAATGAACGAAATACAAATGTATAACTTAAAATTCCTATACGACTATTCATTTAAGGTCTTCATTTGGAATAAATGTAAATTGTCTCCCAAATGCACATTAATCTGCAAAACATTGGGAAATATTTTTGTGATCCAGTTGTAATATAAATGAATTGTTTAAATTTTTTGCTTGGATCTATTCTGAATACTGGAATATTATAGGAGGGATTATAAATAAAACTTAGGTACAGCGAAAACTAATGGAAAGCATGAATAGCACTGGAAATCCGCAGAGGTTAGGAGAACACGTGATAGGGATAAGAGGGGAATGAGAGACAGATGGGAGAGAGAGAGAGACTAATCTATTAAATGAACCTTCTGTTTGCTTATATTGCATTTATGGTGGCTGTAGGATATAGCTAAATCACAAATGTACGACAGGCTCATAGAACATTGCATCTTTTCCAGACTCCCTCTGTTGAAGCAAATGAATGTCTTCCCGGATATTATCCACCAGAAATAAGGCTATCTAGGATAGTCAGTTGTTACGAGCTACTGAGAAAAACATTCCAAAGTTTTTTCTTTTAATGTCCTTATTCTCTTCGAAGTTGAATTGCTTAATGAATCGAATATTTTTAGGTCATATCTATATACTAAATATATCTTAAAAATAGCCACCTTTCAACCTATGGCTAGCCTTACGCAAGAACTTTGAAAAAAAATTTCCAAATTCCAAATGGTAACAATTTGTTCCCATTATACTAACTCTTCTGATTCACATGTAATATAACGACAGTAGAATCAATAATCATTAGCATCAACTCAATTACATAACACTATAATTACGAAATTGAAAGAAATTAATCTGTGCAAACCCACCAATTAAAATGGAAAAAAGTCGGTGAAAGAGCCTTTACAAAACAGCAATAAATATACCAGCAAAAAGAAACAGTCGAAGTGCATCTTATGTGCAACACTCCACTGTTGTTAATAATAAGAGAAGCTGCACTGCAAATACAGAGGTCACAACTATTAATCATCAATAGCTTTCAAGATAATGTCAATCTGTTATACACAGCAGTTGAATGCTGTGATAGGAGGTCGTGCGGCATAAAATAAAGCGTCTAGAGATAAATTCCTGGCAAAAATTCTTCAGAAACAAGTGGTGAAGCTAAGCTCCAAAAAGCATGTGGTTTAAAGCTTCTATCAGAAACCTACTAATAAGAAATCTCTCTTGCATATATCATCCATACCAAGAAACTTCTCTTATGGCTTTTCTGACTTAACAGTAACAACTCCCTTCACCAGATCTAAACGGTATCAATTAACAACTCAGTCTTAACAAATAACAGCAACAACACTCAGCATCCGCAAACGACGGTTCCTCAGTTTCTTTTAACACATTCACGACTAACCGTATTTAGGACCAAACTTACAGCACTTGCCATATTACAGAATATTTGAAAACAGATCTTCATTTACAGATGAAAATAAACAGTGTAAACCACAATATAAAGAAATCACTTCTTTCAAAAATTACTTAATCAAAGGTTAAAAGCAGTCTACAACTGCAACAAAGAAAACACTGCATTGCACCAGCCCTCTTTACCACAGTAAATATAAGGAAATAAGTGATCATTGAAAATTCACTTCTGATCCATCAAATAGCTATTAAACTTAATTTAATTAATACTTATTGAACATAACTTAGAAGTTTCGTGCATGGAATGAAACTACCAGTAAACAAAACAGATATTCCTCACTATAGCATAAAAGGTAAGGCTTTCAAAAGTCTCAGGTTACTATAATATACTACACACCGGATAACTTTCCAAATAATTCAAAAAACTCAAGATCAAATTGCATAAAAATTTCCAATCGACTGAGGGAAAACATAAAAAAGCAGTAAAAGAAGTTTTCCCATATGAGTGCAAGTACTTACATCATAAAAGAGATATGAATAACACTTGAGATACAAAAAAAAAAAAACCAGAAAATAACCGATGAAAAAAATTTCAGCGTAAAATAACTGGAAGCATACAAAAATAGGATATGAAAACAGAAGACCGAGCTTCATCACTCAGATCGGGTATTAATAGCCAATCATAAAAAATTCGGACTGGTTCAAATTTCTCTACATTCGGTACATGTCACAAAAAATATAATAATGACAAGAATGTTACACTTCCGCTTTCGTTTCAACCAATACCAAAATAATACAAACAATTATTACAAAAATATTTGAACGCACTAGAAGCCATTTCATAAATGGCTTACAATAAATGAATCCATCAGTAAATACAGAAAGTGAATAAACAATTTACCGAGGCAAATAGACTGAGTAATAATAAGACCAATCAAATACTACAAAAGTTTTTTCTTCTCAAAAAAATTGATTTCATTACAACTAAAACAACTGTCGCAAAAAAAGGAGTAGAAATGACTAGCAAAGATAAACGCAAACCTGCAATACAGCATGAACCAAGAAAATCCAAGAAAAACAGCCTGATAAAATAACACCAATCGGCGAGCATCACAATTACATACATGGATATAAGGAAAACAGTTTAAAAAGTGAAATTATTTCAGTGACTCAATCCTTCTCCATTTGATCTTTGGTCTTTGATATCAGCAAACAAACACTTAAATTCGAATATGAAGCGAAAGAATTAAAATAATAGCAAACTAAGTGGCTCGTTAATTAAATTAAATCTGAGCGACCCGCCGTTTGCAATTTTGCATCATCATCACTTTTTCTGGCTTCGAAAAGATGTCGTCTGCGCCAAGCAGGTCCCAGCTTTAACAAATACCAAGTCACTTTTCAATTCTTTAAAGACATTCCCTTCCATTTTAAATCACCATGATTCACATAAACTAATAAAGTAAAACATCTTAAAGATTATCCCTGCACTGAATATACCTCGACTGAAAAACAATCAATTTTCAATCCTAAATGTGAACATAATTCTCGTGAAAATTTTCAAAATATTTCAACTCAATTGATGGGAATGAACTTTTCGAGTTAATGCAATCGAATGCAGTGGAAGAACTTTAAAATTTACCTCGTCATATTAACATTATTTTTATAGCGAATTTTATAATGGCAAACCTTTCTAAGAAGCCCATGTATTTTCTCCATTTCACAACGCATCGTGTTACAATACTGCACGCAATCCCACATCATACGTGCTATATCAGTATCATCCCGCGTATCCATCGGGATATCTTTATGAAGTGGTGCGGAGAGTCGAAAAAATGGCACATTCATATTGTGACACCAGGAACGAGCTCGTTCTACTGGCGCTCCTTCCGTTGCTGTCACCTGGAAATTGTAATTAACAATTCTTATTTTTCACAACGGATCACATTATATACAAAACTGTCTCGAAAAATTGTAAAACTGAATACATTCAATGCCTAAAAACCTGCTCGACGAGTATAACTCCCAGATTTTTGATGGCAACAGCAGAAGAATATGGATTTGATGAGATTTCCAAGTTTGATGTTGACAAAGGCATTGTTGGAATAGCACCGGTACCGACGCTTAACAAACATCCAAGTTGTATGGCATTATTTTCTGAACTTGTCTGAAAAATATTTGAAAAACATACTGCATACAGCAGAACCAGCCTTTTTTCAAAGTCAAAACAAAGCAAACAAATAATCAAGCATTTTTTGTACTCAAACATCATAAATTAAAATGACAACTGCCATGAAATCTGCCATCTACATTTGTCAGAATCTAAAACATAGAAAGTATGAAAAGATAAAAAAGATAAAAAAAATTGCTTTCTGAAATCTTACAACCTACCAAAAAATGGTTCGTAGTATTCCAAAACGCTAATTCAGAAAGCAATTCTAAGGCAGGGTTATTTGAAATAATGCCTCCATCAATATACCTATTATCAACAGAACTAAAATACGTCGGTGCTGCTGAAGTCCTTCGCAGTGCTTTCCACAGTAAGGTATCTACAAAGGTTGCCATTATCAATTTTGGATAATACAAAGAAACTGCTCATAGGATGAATAATTTTCCGAACAAAACAGTCGGACTACCGAATATAACGTACCAGCGGGATCGGCATATCCAAGGGACGAATTTTCTTCATCCGACAAAGGTAATCGAAAATTTCGCATTAGTTCCAAGCGCACTGGGAAACAATCAGCTCGTACTGTTGTCAAAATCATTCTTAAAAACAACGATGATATAAACCTTACAGATATAAAATCAATCCTGTAACACTAAAAACAGTGTCAAATTCATAAATCACAGAGAACGAGAATCCATACTTACTTAGGCCAAGGTACAGAAGCCAGAGTCATATCTGTGCCAACTTCTGCTTGTATAAATAATTCTAATAAAGATGTATTATACGGTCGCGCCCAGCTATCAAAAATAAGATCTTTTAGACGCAAATAAATTTGCTGGCAGTCACGCAATGTTTTCCCTGCAAACAAGTTCTCATAGTTAACCAGATCAAGAATACTACATAATTACAGCAACAAATCATTCGGACACCTTATAATCAATACTTATTCAAAAGAACAAACCTAACGCCAAAGCAGCAGCAATGATTCCACCTGTAGAGGTACCAGCAACCATATCAAAATATGAGAAAAATGGCTCGCCCATCATTTTCTCAAGTTCCAGCAGCATCTAAAAAATTATCCTTTTCTTCATTCTCACCAGAGTCCAATTTTAATCTCCTTCATGAGAAAAAGGAACATCTACAGATTATCAAAACGAAATGAAACACAAAATAAGGAAAAAATGAAAGAAAAAACAATTATTACCTGTATGATAACAAGACCGCGAATCCCACCACCATCAAGTGATAATAAGCACACGAAATCTGGGGTATCCTTCTTTGCCGCTAATTCTTCCAACCTCTTCATCATTCGTTCATAACAAAACTAAAATATACCAAAAATGACAAAACAAATATCAATTTCCAGACCGTAAATTCTAAACTACAGTGAATTCAAAAAGCATTAACGTACAATGCGCACAAACCTTTTGTTTAAAATCCTGAATAGAGTTGCTGACTTCAACATCTACAGATGTTTCAAGATCATCCATGAAAGCAGAACTACCAGTTCGAGGAATCATATAATTTTCAGCACTTTCTATCAATGACCATGAAGCATCTTTCATTTCATCCAGCTTCTTACCATTTACGCACCCAGAAACACATCCACTTTTCCCTCCACTATCGCAGCGACGTGCACCACAAATTGCAAGACTTTTTACCAGATCCCATCTGACAACAACATTTTTACTAACAAATTTACGAACAGAATGCAATGCAAAAACTTTATACTTTAATCTTACTCTTGAAGTTTAGATGCAAGATGTCGCGGTGTTTCACCATGTTTATTCTTTACATTTGGATCAGCACCTAGGCACAGAAGTAAACGAGTCATTAATAAATCTCTTCTTGAAACAGATAAATGAAGCGCGGTATCACCACTTTGATCTGACACATTCAAGTCGCAGTTATAAGACGACAAAGTCATGACCATACCTAAGAATTATTTTTCAATTAACCAAGATGGCATATTCCTAGCATAATTTCCCAAATAGTAAAAAATGGAGAATTACGCTCTACTCTTCGTAGAAGTAAATACAATCTATATTATGGGAGACTAAACTAACAAAAGAAAAGACAGCTGATTACGAGAACCACTAACCAACATCACCCCTACTGACGTACATATGAATAGGCGCCTGTCCAGCATTGTTTCGAGCATTCAGATCAAGTTCCTTGTGTTTAAGGGATAGTAAGCCCATTAGCGGTGTCTTAAATTGTGCTGCGTGTAATACCGTATTCCCCGTGGCTGGGTCTTTTTCATGCAGCAATTTGGGAGAAGCTTCCAGTAATGTCCGAATTACTTCCGTTGATTTGCCTTTACTTTGCATGGCTTCAAAGAGTGGAGATCGTCCAGCAACACGAATATTGACCTCGGCACCATGTGAGATTAATGTTGATACAATTCGTGGATTCGCATTCCGAATTGCAATCAGCACAGGAGTATATCCATCATGATTGGTTGTATTCAAAAGAGGATGTGTTTTTTCAAATTCCCAAAGCAATTCCAACATAGTCACCGAAGCCAAGGCGGCATAATGTAATGAATTATTCCCTTTAATGTCTCGTGCTGTCGGATCGGCACCAAGTTCTAGAAGTCTTCGAACGATTTCCAAGCGATGCATTTCTATCGCAAGCATCAGTGGATAACGACCTTCCGGCTGAGCAGTTACTTGAAGCATTCTGGAAAATTTTTGGTTTCAAAATTGTTTCACAACTGAAATAAGTGAAAAACGATTTCAAAAAAAGGAGTCTGCAGCGTGCATCCACCAAACAGTTTTTTATACATATATCTGAAGCGACTTACACATCAAATAAATCCTCATTTGTTGCCTGAAACCTTTTAATGCTTTCATTTGTAAAAAAATCGACCCGATTTGTCGCGATTGCAATTGGAACGATTAGCCAAAGCGGATGAGCACGCAGCGCTGTTACCAAATCTCGTACTAGTCTTCGATTATCATTTTGCATGTCTGTAAAAAAGTTAACAGTTCACCATAAAGAAATACAAAAGACAAAGTTCTATGACAAACAAATATTCAAGAAAAGCATATCGGAGAGTAAAATATACTTACCAAGCAGCATAAACAATGCTTCACAATCATAGCACCGATTACATAAATCGATAGCTTCTTGAATTTCATGGGTACGGAATATGCTTACAGTAACAAGCAATTCGACCTCTTCTCGTCTGTTATCGTTCTTTTCTTCATTTTCTTTCGAAAACAGTACATGGAACAGTGGTGCAGCAGGTCGATTTTTCAGTGTACCTTGCACCACGCGTAATCCTTTTCTGCTGTTACTGTGAGGATAGACGGAATTATGAGCTCGTAACAACTCCACCGGAAATGGCACTACCTGCATAACAGAATCAGTTAAATATGTAATCTTCTATCCAGTGAAACCAATAGTTTACATATAATAATGTCGTATGTAAAGAGTAAGAAATGGAATACTTCATAACAATCAGAAGGTATCCAGTAATCTTCACCAAAAACGCGTTCTCGTGCGCTTGACCAGAGCTCACCAAGTTTATGTGAAACTTGAGCTAATGAAAACAAACTGAAAAACTTAAAGTTTGTAAAAGGGGAAAAACTGTGATAGAATCTCTTGACTTCTGCCTAACACACAGATTACATTAATGATGTCCACTACAGCTTGATGAAGATTGATTTAGTTGTTTTATTCTAAAACACCAATACACACTGCAGCATAACAAAGTTCTCCATGTACCCACAAGAATCTGACCTTGGTTTGACCGAGGTTTTCCTGACTGTTGGTGATGGTGGTGGTGTAGGAACGCCTTCCTCAGATGTTAGAGCAGCTGATGGAATACTTCCCATCTCTGATAAAACAGCCGTCGTTGTTGTTTCAGTATTCGCTCGAGCTTCATCAATTTCTCGTGATGAAGACAACTTCAGAGACGATTTGCTGATTGTTGTTGTTAAGTCACTGTACAACAAAGAAGCGGTACCAATTTGCTCATCATTTATTTCAACTGTTTTTTCACTCTCAGTTTTATTATCATCAGCATCACTTATCTGAGAATTAATGTCCACAGTTATGGGTTCTAATGTTGATGTATTTAAATCGGTCATTGAGTATACACTCGTCTATTGCCTTCTTCGCTCCTTAATATTCATTATGATTGCTTTCACCTTTAAAAACACTGGTTATATATATTAATAAGGACAAATTATATCACACTTCATTCGATAACAGCACATTTACGCTCGTAAGGCATAAAACGCTGAGGTGATTCCTTCGTAATTGTAGCCCTTCATACATTATATACTTTATGGAAATTTTTGGTAACTGCAACAGCTGACGATATATAACCATACTTCCTAATTATATAGTATTATTCAGCTCAATGAATATCGACCCATAAAAACTGTGCATATGATTTAATGCCCAAAATACATGTGTTTAAACATAAAATGTAGCATCATTTTAATTTATCCTGAGAATAAAATACTCAGCAAATAAATCGTTTGCAAACTAAAGTACTCGACGAATAAGGTTTGTTCTTTCGCTTTTCATCTTTTATCTGATGGGAATTTGAATATTTCACCGAAACTTGGTATCAGTCCTTCACTAACAAAAGAAACGTCTAAGATCCATTCAAAGGAACAAAAGAGACCTTAATAATTTAAAAACTTCGAAATGCAATATTATACAACTTGTATCTCAACCCACCCTCTACATTCCAGCAGAAAATACATAATTTTCTAATACTAATTTTGCACTGATACTATACCATCTACTTCCTTGCAACCTTTCTCCAGTAATTGTAGCAGTACTTTTAATCATAGCAGACTTTGGCATAAGTCAGGAAGGGTCACCCCATGCAATTTTGTGTCCCAAATGGAAACTCCCTATTAACAAGGGGCAGCTGCGAGAGGAGAGGAAGTAGTGAAGCGACAGATGTCACCACTGGGAGTTGATAGAGAAGAGACCTAGAACGGAGTAGATCTAATACACCACTACCATGTATAGTAGCTATTCATCCTCTCTCGAAAGTTTTAATTCTCATCATAGAAGCGAAACACTGATAGCCTCATGAACTGTCTTGTGTGAATTTACCTCACAGTCAGAGAACTAAGCTGAATCTGTCGTTGTTTCGGTTTGGCTACAAATGCTCTCATAGCTGACCAATACAAGCTGAGTTCCAATCACTAGTTCTTTGGATTTCAATGGGTTAATTGAAATCCTCTTTCAATTTGATTGCGTTCTCCGTGAAATTTATACTGCAGTGAAACGTGAAACCACTTATTAATGTTTTCAACACGCAAAAGATTTTCTCTGATAGTTTTTGTTTGACAGTGTTCCATTTATAGTGGGCATAAACTATAATATATTTCAAAACATTGTCGTCTTTTTGATTTCATTTCTTCACTAAGCAGCGCAACCATTTCCATAACAGATTGTCTTGTATGAAGTGATAAGGATGTCCATTTAGTGATTTTTGAGCTTCAAAAGTCCGAAACTTAAATTATAGTACCTCTCTGAATTAAAAATAATAGTATTCAAGGGTTTGCAAAAGACTACAGTAATTGAAAACTGTCATTTGTTCAGAACTGTTTCAGATTTGCTCACATAATGTGTTCCCATGGTAATGATAAACGCTTGCTCTCCTGATGCAACAACACTCATCCATTTTATGGCATTGTTTTGCTAAGATTTCCTATTAATTAGTCATTTATAAAATTAGGAAGACAGTAATCTCGCAGTATTGTTCCCAAAAAATATAGTTTGAAAATTGAGCTTGTGACCCCCTTCTCCTCTTTCTTTACTCTTCTACATGCTGAAGCTATGAATATTTTTTCTCCATTTTTCTCAATGGATTCTGCAGGACTGCTAAAGAAGCTGTGAGCGGGTTGTATTGGTGGTAGTGCAGATAACATCTGATACTTTTAAAAAACATAAGGTTAGGAAAATCATTTTAATTATGAGGCATCTAAATGAAGAAGTCCCAGTACTTTATATTGATTGCTTGCGCATACTAGGCTTGCGTCCCTCTTCTTCTCTTTCTTCCTTTCTATGTGTGTGTGTGTGTGTGTGTGTTTCTGTGTTTGTGGACTCATTATATGTCCCAGTGTCCAGTGATTTCAACAAGGTTCTTTTTTCAGAAGCCTATCTATGTATTTGTTATTTGTATGCTTTATTATTGCTAAACTTAGTTAAAACTATTACCCAGTCCCAGTACTTTATTGTCCGTGTGTGATTGGGTTTAAATAATTTTCTGACTAACTGAGATTAATATTTTTCCTCGAAAATCATATTGAATTTTATAGACAATTTTTGAAATGTATCTATTATGTGATCAGATTACTATACACAGTCATTACTGAGAGACTTTCATTCTGGAACTTTCGTTCAGGTTTTATACAATGGACCGTCGAGGAGGATTTCAGGGTGGTTTCGGCAGCGTCAACACCGGTAGTTTTGATGAAAGATGGTCCAGGTATTTAAACTAAACTACTTCTCAACGAGAAAGAAATACTCAAGCTACATTTGTTGCAAACCTTAAAAGCAAAATTTTCACTCTCTGAGTCAGTTTGCACCTTATCTGGCCCACTAAAAGTTTTTTTTGAAATTGAATTCTCCCATGTTCTTTCCACCAGAATTTGCCTTCGCACTTCCTGAAAATGTAAAGCTATGGAATCTATTCTGCACATTAATAAAATAAAAAACTGATTTCAACATTATGTAATCTTTGAAAATGAGTTTTTATTTATTATTTGGTATTCATCCAAACCGGAAAATTAATGTATATATTTATTTTTCAACGTATTTAATAGTTAAACTAGCGATAGAAATAAGATTAGCCCTTTCTCTTTTTAGAATTCCAATTTTCTAAATTCTTGAGAAACCTTGCAGTTCAACGAGAAATCAAGGTGCTGGACCACGGCGAATAGGTAGTGGTTTACGTCGTATAACAATTGATTGGGATAAGCCATGGATTCCGGTAACAAAGCTTGGCCGTTTGGTAAAAGATGGACGAGTAGCTACAATAGAAGAGATCTATCATAGATCGATACCCATCCTAGTTGGTCACCTTGTCATTGTCATTCAATAATAGCCTCATGATTAGTGCGAAACTTGGGGGGAAATAAAGGAAGAATTGAAAGGAACCTGCATATAGATGAAACATAACACAGAAATCAAAGGGAAACAGGCTGGGTTGGGTAATAACAAACAAAGCGCTGACACTTCTAAAGGTAACCGAGTCTCAAGGGGTTGAAAAGTTTACTGCCAGAATACGCTAGCGCTATGAAACAGAAAGACTGGAAAATTTTGGTCTTAAATTTGGTATGGCATTTGAAATAATTGATGGTATGCTTGACTATACTGTTGACCTGACTGTACTGACATGTGCTAAGTAACAAACATCATTGCAAGAACAAACGCGAGCAACCCCGTAAAATCAATCCTGCCAGTACCAACATAAACTAAATTTTCATCTTACCTTTCGATTTAGGGTTTCTTGTAAGACCAGTTAGCATAGTAGAAAATATATTTGCTACATGAAGACCTGCCTCGAGCATGCCAAGTACACTTAAACCAATCGCTATAAACTTTAAAGCTGCTAAATCCATATATCACCTTTAACTATTTCTTCAATGTATTAATCATATTCTAGAGAAAAGTCAATTACTTTACTGCATCTAATAAATATACTGCAGGAATATCAATTTTCTGAATCCAAGGTTATGTTTCCTTTCACAGTTTTGAAATTTATATAGTGTGTTGAGCCAGTTATATATATAATCGTCGGTAATCTTTAAAAAAAAAAAACTCTCTAACGAAAGAAACGATTACTTAATTCTTTTCGAATTGATGGTTCCTACTCAAAGCTGCGCCAGTTAAAATTTAATGAAAGAGAAAGGAATAAAAGAATTGCAGGAATATCAAATTGTGGATCTATTAGTACCAAATCTGAAGGAGCAGGTATTGAAGATTCTTCCGGTACAAAAGGAAGTTCGAAATGGGTTGCGCACTCGATTTCGAGCGTTTGTTGCTATTGGTGACAAGAATGGGCACGTGGGTCTTGGGATGCAGTGTGCAAAACGTGTCAGCACCGCGATCAGACTTGCAATTTATCGTGCAAAGACAGCAGTGGTGCCTGTACGACGAGCCTATTGGCCTGTTTTCCTTGCAATCTAAACAGCCTACTGTTACTGATTTTTCAACGTTACACCCTATAACAAACTTATCTTCAGGATTTTGAAATGAAATGAATACCACCGTCTAATAAAACTTCGATTTATGTTCAGTTTCCTCTCTTCAAAGGAAACGTGCGTCTTAAAATTTGTGTACTGGAAGATTTAACGAAAGTTGGTCAAAAAGTGATATTAAAAGATATCGAAACCACCCAAACTATTATGTTTCTATCAGTTAACTAGTTAGGCATTCAGCAATTTTCACAGGTAATTTGTAAAAACTTTTGAGCAAAAATTCTACTGTGGTTTCCATATCCTTTAACTACATTTCATCCAAATTTTCCATGTCCTCTAACCATTTCATTCGAATTCATCGACTCTTACATTTATCCTTAAATAAATGTAATTGCAGGACTCATACAAATGCTTTGCTTTGAAACGTAGATTTGTAAAAAATTTCAGCCTTTATTTAAAAAATGAACTACAAAAAAACCAACTACAAAAAAAAAAAAAATCAACGAAAACTGAAGACTGCTAAAAAACTGTCAACACTTACTTGGTCAGCAAGAGTTTGGCTCTGTTGCTATTATTTATACAAGAGGATTTTCAGAAAGACTCTGATGAAGATTCCATCCAACCTAGCAACACAGCTGTATGCAAATTTGAGATTGAAAAATCCTTGAAAAAGATTCATCTGAGATTAAGAAACCTTTGGGAAAAAAAAGGAAAAGCCTGACAAATAAATCATGTAAATCGGGAGAAAAAGTTTAAAACAACGAATAGAAAGCTCTGTGGAACGGAATCGAATAACATATTATTTTAGTGTTTTGGATTAAAAAGAAGGAAACCTATTAAAATGAACACAAAGAAGGAAACACAGCGATCTTATGCGGTATAAAATCCGGAAAGAAAGAAGGCACAAAACAACTCGCAATCCATAGCAATATTCTACCCTTTCTTTTCTGTTATCTCATTCTATAAAAAAAAAAAAAAAGAACTGGCTTATAAATTAGAATATGAGCGTGGTAGCGAAGGAAGATTTACTACACAATTACTACTCATGAATATCATTACTAAATCAAACAGATTCAATTAGAGGGTAACAACAACCGTTTCGATTAATGTTTTACACATCTACAATCCTCTACACTATGGTGCATCAGAAAAGAAAGGACAAAAAATATTTTATTATTTCAGTCTTTGTAGAAACAAACGAAACCAAAGAAGGGATGTATAAAAAGTAAGGAACTTGAGATTCTCAAGTTCTTTACTTTTTGAAATATGAAAAATTAGCCAAGAATACTTGGTTGGAGAGTGACTATATTCGTTTTGATTGATTTTGCGCAGTCACCAGCCCTAGATATTATGAAACGATGAACTGCCGTAACCTGAAAAGAAAAGGTCTTCACACACTTGAATTGAGTGAAGCTCAAATAGATCCAAAGAGAATAAACAATCAAGAATACATCGAGATAAAGTAGTAGCGTTGTTTTGTAATTAGTGAGAATTTTTTAACCCTTCAATTTCATAAACTGCTGAGATACTCGACTAGAGCATTTTCTTTCCCGAAGATTTTCACATCACACTTCGATAGAAAAAAAAAAAGGTAAATGCATGCACTGATAGATTTAAGGAGGAAGATACACACGAGTAAAATAAGTGTAAATTGCCTTGTAATCATCTTCATCAGTACAATAACCAAACTTGAACGTCAGCAGCTCAGGGATTTTTTTTCGGCTTGAAACACGCAGTACTGATCCATATGCATGACGTGCTCGTAGGATGACCCCTCCAACCTATGATACACAAAAATATAATCATTGTAGTGAAAAATTTCTTTGAAAAACTAAGTTCAAAAAAAAAAAGACACATCGAAAGAATTTGCTGGATTTAAAAAATACAATCAATGCATAAAATCAATAAGTGGGTGACTATGGTTGAGAAAAATCTTTAAAGTCTTTATTTTGAAACTTATAAACCTTTTCTTCTTGATGAAAAATGAGAATATGTGTCGCTGTTAAAGCTAAATAGCATTCCACAGTACGGTGACTTCTGCCTTCTGTAAATACTTCCAACCCTTCAAAATACTCCAGTATACCATTTTGCTTTAGAACATCGTCCAACTTCTGAAGTTTATCTTTAACCTATAATTTATTAAATTCTGTGATTCGCTAAATTCTCTCACTTCTAACGGACGTTTTTGACTTTACTAAGAATCTAGTTAATGTTAAACCATATTTCAGGTGACCCATACGAATTATCCTTACGACGAATTCAAATATGAAAACGCTAACTTTTGGTTCACAGAATCTTGGACTGGATGTAATAGCAATAGTTTCTGTTTCAGAATCAGAATCACTGAGAGTGAAGACGGACTTTTCGTTACGGTATCGTTTACCATGCCGCTGACTTGTCTCAACATGGGTAAATTGAGCAGTATTTGGACCAATTGTCATAATTGTGGGCAGTTTTCGCATTTTTTCTCTAATTGAAGGTGCTGTTGCTTTGACTGCGTCGAGAATACTACCAACACCAAGTTTCCACTGGAAAATACCTTAGCTTTCCGAAGAAATCTTTTATGAAATTCTCAACAACTTACTTATTTTGCAAAAATTACATATCCTCAATACACGAATCAATGACAATCAGTCTCGCATTAGCACAGTTAGCTAATGAAAAGTTTTCCAAAAACACTTACAGACAATTTTCTTTCAGACTCTTTTTCGACTTCGTATAACGCCTGCCTATTACACTCCTTACAAAGGGCTGAATAATGTCCATCCAAACGTTCAAAATTTGGTGCAAGCTGTTCATGAAGAGCTAAATAACACTTTTCTCAAAAAGTTTAAAGTAAACATACAAGATGAAATGATTAATGAAATAAAAAAAGAAAACACCTTTATAACCTCCGTCTACCAAAGCAATATGTTTTCGTCCCTTTTGTAAAAAACTTGCAATAACCATATGCAAATAAAGATCATCTTCACGTCCAGAACCAAGGAAAAGGATATGTTCAGCGGAATGAAAAGAACATCGATAAGCGTCCAGACTGGATAAAGCCAATTTATATTGAAGTGGTGCTTCAACAAACTAAAAGAAAAACATCCACATTAACAATAGATAAAAGAAGGGAATTTGTAATGGACAAGAATGTCGCTTCAGATAACCTAGTTAAACCTGCAGTGAAGAATTAGCTACAATAGCCTTGTCAGTTATTTACTTGAGGAAAGTAACATTTTTGAAATTATTTTAAAGCTCAAATGTCGAATATGAAGGGCACGAAAGAAATTTTATTATGGAGCATTGATAACTCACTTAAAAACATACACTTCACATTAGTTCCAGAATAAAAAAGAACTACCACACCCGAACAAAATGAAAAAAGAATAGTGACTTGGAAAAAAAAAATGAAGCGCACCAGCGTAGAATCCAGGTTGTACGAACCATCCAAATGGCCAGCTGAATATTGATCATGAGATCGAGCATCAATAATAAAGAAATTCGGTTCTGAATCCTGTTTTGAAAACTGTATTGATGGAAAAAAGTTTAAAATTATAGAACAGAATTGCCAACTATTTCTACGCTAAAATGGACAATATAAATACTGCACTGAAATGTACTGAGAGGTTTATTTTTCACTATTACCAAATTACCAAAGGACAAACTTGACATGAGAAAAAATTTTTGAAACTAAATTGTAAGCAGATCCCTTACAGCTGCATTAAGGTTTTCATCCAAACCCATTCTGATAACATCACGCGGATCAATTGGCAAGGCAAGTAACTTTGAAAGATCAGCTTGCATTTCTTCTACATTTCGAGATCCAAACAAAACGCGTTGAAAATCCTGATTAAAAATGATTTTGAAAAATACATAAAACTAAACATAACCAGCAAATGAAAAGAAATAGGAAAGTAAAAGCTTTTAGAAACCACTATAATCTCTCAGGATCACAGATGAAAATCTGTATTTGAAAAGATGAAAACCTGTATTTGGAGTAATGCTAAAGAAATCTGCAGTTAAACGTCAAATGAAATTACTTACTTGTTTAATAGACGATGGTGTCTGATTCAGAAACAAAACCGATAAATCAAAAAAGTCGTCCACATCATCTGTGGAAAGCTCTTTCACAGCAAATCGAATCGTATCAATCAATTCACTGCAAGGATAAAAATTTAACTAAGAGAATAGCACAACTAGAAATGAGAACCGCACCAAGCAAAAAGAAAGGACCTTTTTGTGTTCAGGGCCATAAGCTGATCGGAGCAATTGATTAAGAAGACCAAAACCATTGTAAACAACAAATATGGATCACCCTCAACAATTATTTGTTAAATTCTACTGAAATCAATTGTACAACTACATTGAGAATTAACTTCACTTCTAACTTGATTTTCATTAATTTATGAATACTGAAAACCCGTCAGTAATTGGCAGGTCAAAACTTATTCAAAGATTTACTCTCTCGAACAATTTGTCCCACACCACATACAATGACTGCTTGCAAATTTCAGGAGCAAATAGCGCAGCGAAAAATGGACGCCCATATTCAAAAGAAGTAACTTTATGAGACTCCAGATGTGAGCTGAGCAACGGGTCGTGATACTGCACAATCAAATGCATAAGCTGATAGCATACGGCACCTTTCAATATGTCCCTCAAAAAAAAAAAAACAAAAAAAAAGTTAGTGTGGATGATTAGACCATGCCCTTTCAAAAATTTGGGTAATTATGAACAATAACATCAGTCAAGAAGCTACTTGGCAGTTACGTTAACAAGATTATTATCAAAACCAGATAACGAGAGAACCTTGGCACAAATTTCGTAGTTATAGCATAGAATATATTGTAGAGTTCATCCACACTACACCGTAATGGCACCAACATTTCTAAAATGTTCGTATAGCTCTCATCGAAGTCACATTCTTCACGCTCACAAAACAATGCTACTACAGATTCCAGATCACTGTTACCCAACGTAGATGGACATCGATCAAGGACTTTCAAGCACGCTGTATGGATTTGCTCATTTTTCTGATGTGATATCTTCCGACATGGAATACCTGGCTTATTCTGAATGCCGAGATTTTTCTGCAATAAACTTTTTATCGAGTACTAATGAAGTACAACTCGACTTTAGATCAACCTTCGATAAAAAGAATGAAAAAAAGTACCACCCATTTCTCGTGATACGATTCCAAATTTCTGAAATATTCAGTGTCGGATAGCGTAGCTGATGATTTCATTGTCTTAGTTTCATCTTCATTCATAGTTTCGAAGCAAACAAATAATTCCTGAACTTCCGACAGATCAACTAAGAAGAACTGACAACAGTACACCTGAAATACGACAATTTTCCGGACTTCCGTAGAGTGCATTTCTTGTTGATATCACTTCGACACGGCCGACCACCACAAGACAGTTCCTAAAGATTCTCACTACATCACCTGTCCAACTGCCCTACCACCCATGTTAGTTGATTATCCATTGGTTAGGTTATCGTGGAGTACAGCAGTTACCCCACCGTCTCCCTCACCAAATACCCTTGCAATTCAAACTACCTTAGTATCAGCCAATGCAAATATCTGTCTCAGTGCTTCTATTCCATCAGAAATACTCTTAACAAAATATCCGGCACAGACACATCAAAATAATTAATCTGCGAACGCGAACATTATCGACACGTTGAAACATCCTGAAAAGTTCGCTAGTTAAGAGTGAAAAACTCTAAGAAGTTCAGTTCCTAAGTGAGCTTGCAATAATAACGATGCTATTATTTACACCAATTACTTTGTAATTGTTTTATCCATAATAATTAATAATGATGATAAATAATAATAATAATAATAAGTAATAAAAGTATATAAAGGAGCCTTGCGAATATCTGTGAAATGAGGGATTAAATGAGCTGACGTCATTACCCATAATGTATCCAGCTTATAAGGCCTGCCTCATCGCAGCTTGCTGCATAATATGTATGGATGACTCCCACGGCCTTGGGATGAGCTAGCCACGCCACATAGTTGGCCTCATATAACCGAGTTAGACTGGTTACATCATCGACTGGCCCTCATATCACATGTCGTCATGAGTTTCGCTTAACTTTGAAATATGTTAATTAACATTTTTCCTTGGCATGGTTCTGAATCAACATTCCTTTACTCGCATTTATGTTTTCTGCTTTTTAAACCAAATTCTTGAAATCTAATCAATAATTCCGCAAACACATCATTCAACTTTCTGCTATTTTCAATACAAAGATTTTCACTCATCATATTCCGATACATTAGAATGGCTTTGGAAACTTTTGGGTGTAATCTATAATCATTTGGCATTTGAGAGCAAAGATGTAAAGATCTTCAATTTTCAACAAAATAGGTGGTAATATGCATAGCTATAAAGATAATTGGCAGAAGGGCAAGCAGACATTTGAAGTACAGTGTTTCTGATGCTTCGTTTATTTGTAGTAAATCGCTTGTCGAAATGGAACGATAGCGACTCATTTTAGTGCTGAGAAAATTCAACAGATTGATGGCTAGATACAGAAAAGGTTAGTTATGCAGTCATGAGCTTCATTATAAACGTTATAAGATTTAAAATCCAAATTTGTTTTGTGTAAGAATGATCCCTTTTATCAGTTTGCAAATTTTAATTAAGGAGTTGTCATTCAACTATTTAAATGACTAATTGAATTTTTTCTAATTTTAACATTATGTTGAATCTCCAAGTTTGAGATTAAAAGAGCACAAGAAGAAATATGGAAGTTGCCTGAAAACGATCAAGTATGATACAAACTGAAATATCAGTATATAAAATAGCAAGTTTGGATAATAGTGATTATATGGTAAAATGTCTTTCAAGGTAAAGATGCGAAATATGCGGAAACAATTAGCGATGACGAAGATCAGAAAGGAATCAAATGTTCTGTCATAGAGGATTATTGGCAGAAGGAAGCCGACATTCCAGTACATCAATCAATATTCAATATATCTGAACAACCTTTTTCAGCAATAAATGCAACCTTACTGCCAGATTCGTTTGCAGAGGCATCGGAAATGTAAACTTTTCATTTTTATTTAAAAAATCCTGTTTATTAAAAGTATGATTTAACGGAAAATAACCAAGCATTAACAAGACTAAAACAGCAATCAATATATCGTCTGGAATGTAATATTATCCCTCTTCATAATTGCAATTTATTAAAAACTAAATTTATCTTAAATTGAAATGGTGAAGTTTTGTGTTTCAGATGGTATCACTAAATAGATTTGATAATGATTTATTATTCTTGAACTGTATGAATAGAACCAGGATAAAGATAACAAAATTGTTTGGATAAAAAAGCGATTATGACTCAACTTTTTCAGGATGAAATTTTTTCAAAGTTTATTTTTTTTAATCTTCTAGCTTTGACGAATTTGGATTCCGGATCGATTATAAAATTAATAGCAACAATTTGTTACCAGTTGAAACGTCTCAAAATCGGTAATGAAATTTGTTTTTCTGAATTTCAAAGAATTATTGAAGTGAAGGTTTACGTGCTATAATCATTTGCTATTTGTGATAAAGCAAAGACGCAAGTGCAATTGTACGGTACGATATAACTATGTATTTCCCATGAGTATTAGAAAAACTGTATGTAAAAGTTATTTAGGAAATTAAAAAATATTTCTAAAGGTACAAAAATACAAGTAAGTAATAGAAGTTGACAACGTAATTTTCTTAAGGATGCGCTGGATAGCACTGCTTGAATTTGGACACGATGATGTGAAGGAAGAGTTAACATGGTCAAAAGTGGACGTGGAAAAATTAGATTCTGAAAAGTTAATGACTCTTATCCATGAAGTTGGAATAGCTCATTCGCTTCGTCCATTTTTATGGCCAAGGTTTTGTGGTGCAACAAAAAAGAAAGCGGCAAGTGCTTTCAGCTATTTTGAGGTAATCAAGCACTGCGACAAGGATGAGTCATCAGCAAGTACGCAGATTGAAAAAGACTTACCAAGGTGAAAGATGGCTAGTTTTCAGTTACATTCACTTAAAAAATCTCGAAATTATATTTCCATCAAACTTCCTTCAAACCTTTTCTGAGCTTAGAATCTTACATAGAACTATTTCAGGACATTACCTAACAATATATGTTTTTGGCATTCCGGTAGTAAAGGTATCGAAAGCTTACGAAGAGTTCTGAAATCAATTGCTTATATTTATCCGGATGTTGGTTACTGTCAAGGAATGGGTGTTATTGCAGCTTCGTTATTACTATTTTGTCCGGAAGAAACAGCATTCTGGATTATAGCCTCATTAATTGAAGATATATTTCCACCCAATTATTATAGTCGATCATTTCTTGGCTTACAGGTAAATAAATCATGTTGCTTTCGCTTTCATGCGATGGCAACAACTCCTTCTTGTGAATAGCAGTTCAACTTTTAATTTTATTGAAGCTAGCTTAAGATTTCTTATTTCTATTTTTTTACAAATTGATCATTCTGAATGAGCTACATTAATAAGCTACCGTATTATATTTTGGATGGTCGTCAACATTCTGCGTGATAGTAAGCAGTTATATTCAGAATGTTTCAGGCAGATGAACGAGTTTCGCAGCATCTAATTGGGATACATCTGCCGGAACTGCATCATATCTTAAAAGATAATGACGTTGAGTTATCATTAATTACTATTAATTGGTTCCTAACAGCTTTTGCATCAGTCCTTTCCATGCGAGTTTTGCTGCGTGTTTGGGATTGTTTGTTCGTGTTCGGTGGAGTGACGATGTTCAGGGTAAAAGCATTACTGCCAGGAGGATCTTTCTTCTGCATGTTTTGTAGTGTAGTAGTGTGCCGGACTCAGTTGACCGGTTCTTTATTCTCTCGTTGCGAAATAATTTCAAGAAAATAAATTAAGAAGAAGCTGGATTTAGTATCACTAGGAAAATTATTTCCTAAGCAGAATCCTTAATTTCGGTTTTCAAACTTTTTTACTTGAATTATCTGTGATTCTATAAAAGCAAATTTTTTTACAGATGGACTAAGTGATGAATGAATTAAAAGCAAACTATTAAGTAGCCGGTGTTCAAACACAACTAGTAATAAAATAATTGTAAAAGCCATCAAATTTTCTTACTTTATTTCTAGGTGTTAATCTCGATTTTAAAAATCAAGGAGGATGATTTAATAGAAATGAAATACAATGAAAATGTTACAGTAGAAGTGTTCAATACAATTTCGCAGATTCCAGCGTCTTTAAGTAATCCAGGTAATTTCTCCTTTTATTTCACTCCATAGCAAACACTTCTTACAAAATTGTTTACAGGATATTTAATGGAACTATGTAAATCTTTTGAATTTTCAATAACTACGGAGTTTATCGAAACAGCTCGAAAACATCAGCAAGCAATTCTATTAGCTAGTCAAGGACTTATCATAAACACAAATAATGTTACAAATTTACCCAAACAGCATGTTCGAAGACGTAAGCTAGTGGGATCAAAAAGTTTCGTGCAGCAGATATTTGCTTTATCTAAAGAACAGGTGTGTTTAGCATGTGAAGAGCTTTAATTAATAATAACTGATGTACAAAAAGCTAATCAAGAGAAAATTCATATAATGAAAATTTATTAAGCAATGATGAGTTTGCTGCTTTGATTCTTGCTGTTTCATTCTTTTCCAACTTCACTCAAATCAAATTTCAAAAGTTTTTATTTACAATATGATCCCTTACTTTCAATTCGGAACTTTGTTGTTGAAAGTTTATTGATGAGAACTCGACATAAATAATACTTTCTAAATGTGATGAAATCATATTAATTTCTGATTCTCATTATTATTTTCAAAATTTCGAGCTTATGCAAAAGTTAATAGAAATTGTTGAATTGATTCAAATCCCAAACTTCTTAACTTATTTTGTCTGCAAAATTTGAAACCAAACTTTTTTAAATTGCATTCCATATTATACTTCAGTGGCTCGAATTTTTTGTTTCGTGCAGCAGATATTTGCTTTAGAAGGGAAATACTTGGACAAGAGTTTCCGTTCTTCACATAATCTTTTTAAGGGACTATTTGATATATTTAATGTACTAAAAGTTTTTGCACACTATAGTCTTCCGATATATCGAAATACCAGTAATGAAATTCTTGTTTCTAGAAATTAACATCTATTTGTGAATTATTTTCAGGATATTGAAAATGATCCGAAGACAAAAAATGTTCGGCTTACTGAACTTATTATCGATTTACGAGATGCCATTTTGCATATCTGTCGATATTTCATTGATTGTGATGAGTCGTTTAAAAGAGTGGTTAACCTACAGGTTATTTATTTCAATCATTGCTTCACACTTTTTCTTATTCCTTATGGCAAGTTTATCAGACGAAGACTAAACTTTATACACAATTTCATTTAAGGCAGACTACTCGGCAGAGGATCGGCAAAATGAAAAAGAGGAATTTTTAAAAACGCGACATAATGAATATCGTCGTGCGAGAGCATTGTTAGATTTTAGGCGGCAAGATGAAGATGAATTAGGATTCAGGTGCAAGTCTTCAATTTTTTATTCGATTTCAGTTTCCAGTTTTATTTTAAAAATCTTTATAAAAGTGAATCTGTTCGTAACGACATCGTCGCTTGCAGGAAGAATGATATAATAACAGTTATTTGTGAAAAAGATGAACACTGCTGGGTTGGCGAAGTAAATGGATTAAGGGGATGGTTTCCCGCAAAATTTGTCGAAGTTCTTCTTTGCCATTTGACTGATATTTATTTTTTAACTTATAAATCTATCAACACTCTGTTTCTTCATTTCGAAATTTTATGGCTTTTATGCCTGCTTGTGTATTTTCAGATAGTTGATGATCGCGGACGTGATTATACAATATACGGTGATGAAGCAGTTTGCCCAGAGATAACCGATAAGATCCGTAGACGTCTGGCTTCAGCGTTAAAATTGATTTTAGAGTATGGATTGCGAAAGTCGGGTGTACTTAATTTTGCTTCACATCCATGGCTTTTCATTGGTACTTTTTTGATATCTGGAAAAAATGACTGGAACTAATTCTCACTTTTTTGAACGATTTGAAAGGGATCACTATTTGCTTTTTTTAGAAGAGATGTCACAAAGTTTTGTGCAAAAACATTATAATGCCGTTTATTCTCGTTTAACACTTTGTTCAACATTCAGTTTGGACCAGGATGGAGAGGTGATTTTAGCGTATTTTCTCAAATTTTTGTGGATTTTGGCAACACTTTTATAGGAAATTGCATATTTTTTTTATATTGGTTTAAGGAATCAGTGTTTGCGAATTTCATAACTTAAAATTGGGACTGAAGTAATAAAAATTTTATCAAAGACATGAGGTTGGGTTAAGTTCGTAGTTGAAATTGTGTTTGACGTTTGCTGGCAAAGTGGAGGCTAGTATGTAGGCGAAATTTTTGTTAAGATGAACTATTCCTTAATTAAATCCATGTAATAGCTTAAATTGTAATAGCAAGCACCAAGATTCTGTCATATTTAGAGAAATTCCCATAAAAACTTATTTGATAGGAATGATACTGATTGCATCATCAAGGAAGATTTTCAGCTTTAGTTTGATTTTTTGATTTAATTGCAAACTTGCTCAGTTCTTTTGAGTTGCGCAAAGACTTATATTTTACTTTCCTGCAATGTTTATCATACACAACATTTGATGCTGAATCAAACAAATGTGTAATTCGTACTTCAGTTTTTCCAAGCTTTCGCGGAATTTCGATACTACAACACTTGATGTCAAAAACAACACTGTTATGAATGAAAGAAAAGTAGTACTCGTAGCGGGAGTACTCAAATTAAGTAGTATTTTAAGTGTTAACTTACATTTATTAGGTATTAGCTCCGGAAGAACTCTTATTTCGTGCTGTAAAGTTGATCAATGAATCGCATAATGCAGTTGGTGCCCAAATGGATGTAAAATTTCGCTCTCTAATTGCTCTAGCAGTTTGCGAACAATGCCTTCATTTATGGTTTGATTTATTATGCAGCTGTCCAGAACAGGATCAGATCAGAATTAAATTTTATCATTCATGGTCATTTATACGATCACCCATATGGAGGCAGGTTAGCATTTTTAAAAATCTTAGCTACTCAGGTTCTGTTATTCATGATAATGTTGAAATTATTGTTAGATGTCTCATTAACTCAAATAATTTTGAGAACCAGTTAGGTGAAAAGAGGATAGTTCGGAAATTAGAATATTCAGTGTTTTGGGTTTCACATTTAATAAGTGTGCGGTTAATTATTTGCATTTGCCAAAATGAAAAGATTTTTTTACAGATAAAATGTGAACTGCGACTTCTGGCGCAATTCTCCTTTAATCTGAGTGTTGATTACGAAGTTGCGGATATTGTAAGAAGGAAGAAAAATTTGAATTTGAGCAAGACACTGAAAAAAAAGGTACTTCTAAAAAAAAAAAAAAAAACATCATAGTGATTTATTATCTGGATGTATCTCAGAGTCATGGAAAAAATTAAGACTATTCCTTCTCTGTTTCTCGTTATGCTTGTATTAATCATTCTTTTCTTCCTGATTTTTAAATATAACGAAATTTCATGACTGAATAAGTACAGTTTCCATTCATACGCTTTCTGTGGGGTACTATCAGTCTGATATAATTCAAACTTGAATTTTGTAGTTTCGTTGATTTCAGATGAAACTAACTGGAAAACAGCATTACTTTTAAATGACTGAATAAAATACGTTTTTTCCTACAAACCATGTTAATTCCAGGCCTTCTCGAATATGCTACCAACAACAATTCGAAGTTCGTTTGATCAGCCATTAAAAGAAGGTGTGAGAGATATGCTGATTAAACATCATCTCTTTAGTTGGGATTTATAGTTCTATTGAATGAACAATAAAAAATATTAGTTGATTGCTATCAGAATCGGTCATAAATATTTCTGATTAAGTTCAGTGTTACGAACATTTTAAATAAGAGAAATATTACATAAATCAATTAATAAAACGGTTATTGTAGCTAGAAATTTTTATATTATTACAATGAAATCCTCAGTATAATAGCCATTCTTTTAACCAATCGATTTATTCTTTGCTGTACTGAGACTCATACCCAGAAAGCATACTGCTTTCTCTGCAAACAAAAATATGTCATTTCTGCTTTGATTTTTCATTTTGAATTAGAAGAACTTCATAACTAAAGCTCTATGGGAAATGAACATCTTTTTCTTTTATATAACCACTGAAATATGTAGATCCCACCTACTATACCTTACTGCTTTGCACGGTCATATCTTGTTGTTTAATTTGCAGTTTTGTTTCGCCTCTAATAATTGAAGAACTTTATTTCTGTTGAAAATAGACTCAATAGACACGAAAGAAAACTTTTGTGGGATGCTTCTATGTGGACTTTTATGTCGGAGTGATCATGCTAATCTCATGCTGCGATACATCCGTTTCCATCAAAATGTAATATATTCTAATACGACATAAAACATAGCATTATTATAAAAAACAAGGCGGCTCAAAGTATTTTAATATCATGAGAATTATTACACTTTTTAACTTACGTATGTGCACTTTGATTGATATCACCTTAGTTTCCGGATGACATTTCACCGTAAAAAGTAGATTTTGTAAATGTCTCATTGTTTAAATAGGTTAAGCACGGATAAACATGAAGTCCCGTTAGATTACATTAGAAAATAACTTTATTTAAACAAACCGTTCTAATAAAATAAGATCTACGAAAAGCAATCAGTTCTAGAATGTGAAGGATTCATAGCTAATTACAACTGGCATTCGTTCGGGGTAGAGGTGGACCCGCACGGACAACGATTTATGCACACAACCATTTCATGAGGAGTGATTTGGTGCTTACGAATTTGCCCAGTAGGATCGAGTGGCGATAACGCAATTGGGAACTAGAAAAAATTTTAGCATAATTTGTGCAAACTTATATTAACATGGCACTCCCAGCGTGAGTTTGTGAATACCCCATGCATGGACAGCACAAATATATCGTTCATCTACGCACTAGTAAGACAAATGACCATTTAAAACTAATTAGAAAAGATCAATTTGCTATGTTAATCTTCCCCTAATTAATCAAATGACTGAACGCACCTGCCAAGGTAAACAGTTAGCCAGCGAGAAGTCAGCAGTATCATTTGAGATTATTGGTCTAGCAAGTCGTACTCGCAAATTGCCATTATGTAGTGAAGCGTATTGAACAATTACATTCTGTCTATCGTCCAGTTTCGGTTGTCTAAAGCCTTGGACAAATTCGTCACTTACTAATACCTTGTTGTCCAGTACACGTACGCTAATGAAATCAAGACCATCGTTCTAAAACAATGTAAAGACGGTTAAATTTAGTATTGTGTATAAAACCAATATCTCATTCTTAACTCTGAGTGGGTTAACTTTTATATCAAATGATAAGTTTTGGTCCGCATAGTTTTTTCAAACCTATATTAACCATAGACTGTCCAAAAGCAACGCCAGTCCAAGTATTAGTTCCTGCTGGATACTGAAGATATGTAAGTTGAAGATGGACATGTTGTTGATCCCTTGCGAATTGTAATTGATATTGTCCTTGTTGGTATTTACATGCAGCTACACATCCTAAATCATTTCTTAAATTTATTTCTTAAAAAGAATGAAACCAACAATTTCCATCTGATTTCGGCTGTATATGTTCTAATAACAACTTTCAAAATTGTGTTTCATAAATCAAGGCAATCTCGTACATAAACATGAGAATCGATTATTCTGTCACAATTTTACTAAGATAGCACTAAACAGAATAACTGATTATTATTGCATGAAGTATCATAACCGTGTTATTAATTACTAGAACAGAAATTTGAAATGTATACAACACTAAGATACAGAAATAATTATTTCCAACCCCACCTTCGTTAATATAATTTGCCTTGTGTGCAAAACCAATAAATAGAGAGAACACTTGGTTTGTTCTCTTTTTATTGAATGAAATATGTGGAGTTGGAATCTGTGTTACTAATACTAAATTAGTAATTAATATAATTAATAATATTAATACAATGAACTAAAATCAATAATATTAATATATAATGAAATTAAGACGAACAGCGATGTGAGAAATCGTCGTTTTCCACTCAATCGATATTCCTGGGGTGAATAATTAGTTATTTGTCATTTTGAAAAGAAAACGAAAGAAATGCTTAAGCGCACTATTAAAATTACCAAAACTAGGTAGGCATAGTGGAATGTTCCCCCTAACAACATTGTGGAATGGCTTATCAAAGAAGTCCAAGATATACAGTTAAGGTCTTTGGATCTACTAATCGTCCATTTCTTCTCTCAGCTATTAGCAAAAAGTGGGCATTATTATCAAATAAATGAAAAGTTTTTATCAATTTCTTATCATTATCATTTCATTTAGTTTACAACCCAATATCTCCTCTATTTAATTAACATAGAAAAGATGGTATCATGAAGTTAGCTTTAAATAATAACTATTTTTTTATCTTCATATAGCTGCTGAAAAAAACTGTATTATACCACTTGAATGATAGATCATCTAGAAATTGTCTTGCATTACAAATGTCTTGCATTACAAATTAAAATTAATCACTCTTTGACCAACACATTTTAATTCCCATCTTTAACTGCAGATTTTGAAGGCTAAACAAACAAGCTCTTTTATTAAGCTCCCTTAAACTTCTTGTGAAAGTTGCAGAAGCTGATTTCAACCGATCTAAAAAATGTACATAAATATTTAAAAAACACACCTGAAATGAGATAACTGAGACAAATCACTGAAAGAATCTGAAGAAAAACAAGCCAATTAGCCATCAGTTGTTCTTCCAGACACCTAAGAAATACTGCGACACTTACTCTTTTTTTTGCATTAAAATGGACGAAAAACCCGTCCCGTCCGTGATAGGCGGAGAGAACCTGTTGGACGACCTCAAATCGCTTTTGTTGTTTGAAATTTAACATAACAAAATATACTATTTTCTTAAAATATATACTATTTTAGCTTAAAATATACTATTTTATTTTCTCCAGATTTCATTAGCTCGACCAATCATTTCTGCTCAATATTCCTACCCAAACCGGGAATTCTGACACTCCAGATACCCAACCAGTCTAACGGACGAAATTTTTCGTTATTTATATACCAGCAGGATAATTTGCACATTTTCATAGCAGAATCTTATGCCCTTAAGGCAACGACACTTCCAACACAATAGTAATGGTAGTGGTACATATTTGCAGCGAGTAATACAAAGTTCTCAATAAAAAAAAAAAAAAAAAAGTCAAGTTTTAAACGCAAATACACGCTTATATCAACTTTCTCAACAGCTTATTTTTTCTAATTGAATCCATCTTTCAATCAGATTTAATTCGTATAGATCGTGCAACTCCATTACGTTTTATTAAAACAACTGGAACCACCATCACTAACTGGCACCACAATGAAATATTGCTGCACACTGAGAAAACGAACTACCTAAAAATGGAACAGGGAAACCTTCCATAAAAAATTACCCTTAGAATCGCAAAAACCATGTTACTAGCTCTTCCTAAAAATAAAATTTACAGAAAACTCCAAAAAGAGCATGCTGACTAGACTACACAGATGAAATCCAATCCACAAATAAAAAGCCTGCCGGTTTTTTAATCCAAGCTTATGCGTACGTAGGATCTTACGTACGTAGTGATGAAATTCTCAAACAACAGTTTGAGTTCAAAATTCGAACCCGTAGTTAAATTCTCTTCAGGTGAAAGACTAAATATTAACTTTAGTCAGGATTCAGAAACCAAACCAGCGTGAAGAATGACAAATACAGATTTAGTAATCTAAACAAATCACATAACAAATGAAGAATCAAACGAAGAAAGCAGGAATATAAATATTACCGTCAACAAGGATAATAAGTACCAAACGAGGCACTTGATACAAGTCCTCAAATAACTTCACAATTGCCGCACTTAATGAAATTTTGCGGGAAAAAAAATGTGGCATTGAGTCATGTGTTTTGTAACTGGCTTCCATTTTTGAAAATCATGCAGATGAAAATGCTGATTTTATTTTTCGAACTTATTGGTGTTTGAATTTTCGAAAAACATTAAGAATTGTAAACTTTAGTCTCATTGAACAAAATCCGAACCATGTTTTTCAACATTCACATTAATACAGCCACAATTGGATAGGAACATATACAGAAAAAGAACAGCATTCACAAAATTATCACCAAAACATCATATTAATAATAACGATAACACTTATGTACTAATAAGTTCTAGCAGGTCATTTTTGAGCAAAGGATGCAATCACACGTGGTTCACACAATTATAAAAAATATATATTAAGTGAAATAAGGTAAGAAAAGCGAAATAAAATTACGATATAAGGATTCCATTATTCATTCTTATTCTGTATGAACAAATTATCCCAAATACCAAGACAACTTGGAAACGGAAGAACAGTAACATTAATACTTGATTTCGTTAAACAGTTCATCACCTTACAGAAAGACAACTAATCTTTTCAAATTTCCGTCAACACATCTTTTCAAACTCTTATTTGAGTACCTTGTAACAATAGCATACCAGTATCAAGCGAGGTATATATAATATAAACGAAACCACTGAAAAAGAATATTAGCCTAAGAAGACAGAAATGACCATAAAACATCTCACTGCTCTTTGCCAACGCCATACTTTTCAGTAGAATTAATACTGCACAACTAGAATTTCGTTGAAATATCAATAACTCGACCAAAACAGCATGTCTAATCAGCTTTTTATTCAGATTCAACTTTTGCAACACTTTCCTTTACGGTTTTATTTGTAGTCATGCAAGAATAAAAAGGCCACTGGAAATAATTTATTACTGTTAGAATGGGTCAAAAGATTGTGATTTCGACAATGCGAAGCAGTACGATGTCGTGATAACCCAAAATCAATATAATGTAGAGACAATCGTCAACTCCAGAAAATTACTAACTAGTTTCTTCCAAACAGGAGAACCTGTTCGACAAATGCTAGCTAAACTTTGTTTAAACTGCCCGAAGTTAATTCTTCCGAGCTGATGTGGGAGTAGCAACAGATGGTGCAGCAGCAGCGAGTGATGAAAATGATGACCTGCATGACTCCAATGAAGCCACTGAACCCCTAAATTATCTATTTTGAAATTACTAAGTTGGTTAAAGCATTAAGTACAAGGCAAACATTTTCAAAAGATTAGCTGTCTTTCAGCTTCCTTTTCGTCTTTTATTCTCTCGCTATAAAGAAAAAGTAAGAACATCAGTAACTTGGATCATTTCAGATATAAATCTTTGAAAATAAGCCCAAATGTTCATTTTGTTTTCTTTGGAGGTAAAAGATAAACACTTAAAGAGAGATTGATACTACATCTAGGAAATTGTCAAAAAACAATACATAACTATGTATTTGTGACCAGATAAAAATTAAGAATGATTCTGCATTGTCCAGTGAAGGCGAATTTCAACTTAGTAAAAACTGCGCAAATAAAACCTTCCCCATGGTATATGCGTCACATTCCAGTTTTATATTAAACTTAATGATCTTGATTTAACAAATGAAAGTAAGCACCTCAATAAATGCACCATGCACAGCATCAAATGCCACAAAATTGTCATCTAGGGATTATATAAAATAAAATTTGGTGGAACCATTGACTTGCCTAAAATCCAAGGAATCCAACAATTCGTGATAATACATAATTTTGCACTTGTGACCAGACAAAGAAAAATCGAAGGACTGATTTTGTACTGATTCGAGATGACGCCACTGCAGGATATAAAAACCTGCCTGGGAACAATAATGCGAACCTTGCATTGAATCGCCTTCTGTGAATTGCACAGGCTTCTCTTCTAACCTGCAAACTTAGCTATCGAAAACAGTGCAATAAAAATATTTTAGCTAAAATCTTTTCAAATTTTAAAACTGCTAACTAGCAAAATGAACTAAAAATCTTTTGTATTTTTTTTTTTTTTTTTTTTTTTTTAAGATAATTGCTGGTTAAATGAAAACCAATCAAAAATTCACTTTAAATTAACTCCAATAGTTAATTTCGGATCACAGAGCAATGCAGAATTCGTAACAGTATTTCCTATAACTGCCGTCACTCTTTCAACAGAAGTAAGAACAGAGGGTGAATTCGGTGTAATGTTCGCCTCTACTTGTTTTTCCGTATAATAAATCAAGAATTCACATTCACCCTAAAAAATATTAAATTCAGCGTTACATACTAAGCTACAAAATGTTTAAAAAGGTCTAGGAACTTAGTTTTTCCTTCGGTAGTGCTTAACCCTAGTAACCCCAAAAATTATTTAACATTTTCTCAGTAAGCCCTTCGATTGTCACTACCAATACAAAACTAGCAGTAACGAATGATTATTAAAGAAACCTTTAAAATATCGAAGTCCCATGTGAGAACGCATCCTTCAGTAGTCACTCTGACAACCACTTCATGTGGTGCTCCCTTATAAATGTTCGCTGACTGGTAAGTTGATTTCAATACATCGTCTTCTATTACGGTCTGTGACCACAAATCATAAATCGTTCTTTACAGTACTGATGGGATTAGTTGACGTAGCAATTAAATTGACTCATTAACTTGCTAAGCTAAACTTTTGTAAAGAATTGAAGTTTAAAACCCCTCACTTCTTCCACCGGTTTGTACAAGCTCTTGGGAATATGACCACCTTCTGGCGCAAAACACGAGCACGTTCCACCCAAAAATTCTGGAATATATTGCTCCTCGATATATTTTCTAAGTTCAGAAATCACCGGCTCACCCGCATTTATCATAAACTTTTTTCTTGTGTTTTCATCAATAAATGGTGAAATAAGTGTCCACAAAACTGGGAAGACACGTGGTGCTCGAGCTATTAAAACTAGTCCCATTGTTTCCGGATAATGTGCTTCTGCAACTTCAATTATTCGTAATAGGGCTTGAATTCCTGGACGCCAAAGATGTCTCATGCTCAGACCTTCCAAATCAACCAGCAACGTCCACGTACTGAAAATATTAACTTTCATCTTATCCAGCTTACATCTACTTGCCAAAAAAAGAAGTGGGAAAGCAATTTGAATGTCCTCTTTCAAATGGAAAGCTAATTTTTCCTAAACTATCATAAACTGAATTAAAACAAAGATTTTCTTCTGAAAAGAAACTCAAGAAGCTTTATTGAAAATATATAATATCAGAAATCGAAACTAGGTAAAAGTGCAAAAAACAAGAAGGAGGAAAAGATAACCTTATGGGAGCACCAAGCATTTTTGTGGCTTTAGCCGTTTTAATAAGCCCTTGTTCGACTACTGATAATGTAAATTTCATAATCGTTTCCATACCACATGTCCGCAACAAACCTTTCATATCGAGCTTACCCAGACGCAAAACAAATACTGGTCTAAAAGCCATATGAAATCCGTCAAACAAATTAATGGAATTCCTTTTTCGAATAACTGATTTGTGTATCTGTTACAAGAAAATTTACTATTGTCTTATTTTCATTAAAAAAATGGGTTAATGTTGCTTATTTTTTACCTGCCCTCTTTATCGTTATGGTGCCAACAACCAGGAAAAAACTGTTTCAAAATAGATGGTGCTTCGAACTCTTGCAAAATTTTGTCCACATTATGTTGTTTTCGCCACTTAACACTTTTCTGTACCATGTCGCTCGCTCGAGCCACATCGAAATCGCGAGCACGTAAAAAACGTAGCAAATGAGCATCATTCGGGAGTTTCCCCTGCAGAAAATTTCATCAGATGAACTTTTTTTATGGCTACAGCTTCAAATAAGGACAAAGTCTTGGCATATCCACACTTCCTCTTAACGCTAACGAAGTTTATAGTAAAAAATTTACATGAATGCAAAATACGCATAAGCTGTAATCGTTGTCACATGTTCAATATAACACGCATATAATATATATTCTTATTTCTGTCAAGTTTACTATTTCTG